CAGAGTCAGGGGGAGATTTCAAGTTTCTTCCTCTTTTTTTCTGGACTATAGCCTGAAGTTGTGGCTTTTGGCATCTGTCTTGGAGATAGATGTTGTTCCTTCAGCTTTTATAGCTTCAATTTCAGGTGAGATCACAACTCTATAGGTCTCAACTACAAAGAATGACTGACAGTGGGAGTGAGTGGGATAGATAGTCTGGGCTCAAAGGTTGGGAAGTGGAGGTGAATTATGGCACTCAGATTGGAGCCTATTACTTTCTGAAAAATGCATCTAAGCTAAAAAGTTTGGTTTTCTTTTTAGGTATAGGACAAAAAAACATTTTGAGAGGCAGATGTGGCCTACTGTTCTCCAGTTTTAGTGCCTTGTACTATCTGTATTCACAGGCCTTATATAATAGATAACCTGAATTATGACTGTAAGGCATGTTACCAAAGTATGCTATTAATTGATTTATATTAGTTAAAGCAGAAAATTAGAGGAATGTGTTTTTAAAACCTAATCACAATAAATTTTGCAATGGAGAGAACACAGTGGAAGCTCTGCCCTCAGTTACTATCTGATTAGTTAAAGCTGTTTGTTGTCTAGTTGTGCAATTGAATTCAAATATCACAGCATATAGGTCATGTACATATGGGAAATCTAGGACCCCCCTTAGTAGCAGAGGTTTTGTCTTAACGAAGACATTCATACATTTATAATCAGAATCCCCAGTGAGAAATATGGAACAGAAACACACACACACCCCATAAACCCCAAACAATGTTTAAGGAAATGATATCTTACCATGTTCCAAAAACTCTGTTTTCTAAATGATTTAATTTTTGTGTATATGAACATGACTGTTAAGTTTATTTTACTGTTTATTAGTTGACTACAGCAGGTGGGGTTATTTATTTTGTCTTTTAAGGAAATCACTGGACTAGGTGACAGTATGACATTTTTGTTTATTCATTAACTTATTAAATCAGTATATATTTACTTATTATTTAATGAGACTAAGTTTCTCTCTCTCTCTCTTTTTTTTTTTTGGTACTGGGGATTGAACCCAGGGACACTTAACCACTGAGTCATATCCCCAGCCCTTTTTTTTGTACTTTATTTAGAGACAGGGTCTCATGGAGTTGCTAAGAGCCTCACTAAGTTGCTGAGGCTGGCTTTGATCTCTCCATCTTCCTGCCTCAGTCTCCCAAGTCACTGGGATTACAGGTGTGCGTAACCACGCCCATCAAGAGTAAGGTCTCTTCTGGGTGTCATGGGGATACAAAAATGAGAAAAACTTGGATTTTTCTTTCAGGAACCTAAATGCAAATGTCTAAATTATCAAGCATAAAATCACTTTACATTATACAAATTACTTTTATATTATCATATACAATAACAATAATATTTGTTAGGCAAGTCAGATTTTAGATTAATTTTAAAAACAGAAAATTGCATTTTTGAAAAAGCGATTTATTCATATAATTATTACTATGTTGTTTTATTTTTTATATAAGTAGTATTTGTGAAGCACTTCCTATATGTTAATTGTTATTTCAGCCTTGTTATTATGGCATTCATAGCATGCTCATTTTACAGGGGAGAAAATGAGGCAAAGAGGTTTAGTAACTTGCCCAAAATATCAAGCTGAGAGTTAATGGACTCAATCATAGGCAATATAGTTCCAAGTCTTTTTTTTTTTTTAAGTTGTTGATGGACCTTTATTTATTTATTTATATGTGGTGCTGAGAATCGAACCCAGTGCCTCACACATGCAAGGCTCGCACTGTGCCACTGAGCCACAATCCCAGTCCCCAAAACCGAATCTTAGTGTATTATCTTCCTTGGGGGCAGGGGGGAACAACATAGATCAAAGTCCTAGATGGGTCATGGCAACACCTTCATCTTTTTGTGGCATCTGCTGTGACAGGAGAGCATTTGGTGTGGGGAATAGCATGAAGGGAATGTGGAGGCATGGAGCCTGGCTTCTGATCATTCCATAATGTGGACAGTCCTTACCCAATTAATAAAAGCAAGTGAAGTCAGCAGTAGAAAAGATAAAGGGAAAGAATACTGCTGCCCAAAGAGGGCACCCAATCCTTTGCCTCTGTGCCATATGTGATATTCTTGAGATAAAATGAATTATGGAGCAGTTTTGATCTTGGAAAAACAGAAGAGTTAGACTCTAAATGTTCACCTTGGGTTTTATCAGTGCCAGCCTTTCCTTAAACCCAAGTTCCAAGCATAATCACATAGACAACCTCCCATTAGCATTCTGTAGGGGGAAAAAAAAAAGAATCTCTTTTTAGCTTTTCCCATGGGAGGAACTAGGACTGCCAGGCACTGAGTTTAGAGCTGCATCCAAGACAGACCAATAATAATAATAATAATGATAGAGAACATTTGTTATGTACTTACTATAAATATGTTAGGTAGTAATTTAATTATGACTTCAAGTGTATAATGATAGTATTTTATTATGCTTGTTTTATAGACTAGGTCGGTGAGATCTTCATGGAGAAGAGAACTCTATGAATCTTATTTTAGAATAGTAAAGAAATTTTAATGTTAAAATTGGTGTGTATTCCAATTTAGGTCCTAAACTCTATAATTTTTAGACTGTTGTAAATTAATCTGTTTATTCTATTTTCCTGCCTTAGGATGTTCTTTATATCCTGGTTTTGTAGAATTATAGACAAAATTGATTCTCTGATTCATTTTGTTTGTATTAAGTGTAAAGTTAAAAAATAAAACAGTACTCGTAGCCCATTCATGTTTTTCTTTAAATTTGCAAACTTGGGAGATAGATATCCAAAAATACAAAGGCATATGTCTCATCTATAATTTCTTCCAACACCGTGTCTGCAACTCTTAAGTTGAGCAAAAATAACCAAGAGTGCTCTTTTTGAAAATAATAACTTTTGCTTTTTAAAAAATGGTCCTCTCTAAATTTTCGTAGTCCAGCTACTTAAGATCCAGCATTTGTCAAGACACCTAACAGATGAACACTAGGTATTTATGCTTCCTATGGATTAGTCAAGAATAAAAATAAAAATAATTCAGAAAAAGATTATTTTAAAATGTTATTGGAAGAGATTTTGTTATTAAATTTTAAGAGTTATTAGTTCAGTGAAGTAATTAAAATAGCTCAATCGGACAGATTTGGAAAATTGAAAGTAAAACATTTGTGTTTAAATTTTATTAGTTTTTCCTGTCACTACTCAAGTTGCTTGACTGTATCATAAGTGAGCATTTACTCTGATTGTGATTCAGGTCTCACCACACCTTTATTAGATGGGAAAAAAATCATTAGGGATTTTAGGTCTCCCCAGAAGGACTGGAGATCTACAATATGGCACTCTTGACCTCTTCCGATTCATTTTTTGTTTTTTTTACAAGAATCTTTGAGTATTTCTTGAACAAGAACATATCTCTCAAGCTAAGTAATTTGTTTTATTTAGACCTATGTAGAAGTGGAGCTTCCAGGAAACTCTCTGGGATTCCAAATGATATGGACTGAAATCTCTTAGATGCTATAGTTTGATTTTGTGTCCTGAAGTGAAGTGATCAAAATAATGAGCAGTGGCGAGGAAAAAAAGGCAGGCTGGCTCTGTGTATTGGCTTTAGCAGATTTTACATGTGTATACTTTTTCTTGTGTTGAAGAGGAAACTCTGTCAAACGACTTTTGAAAGGCTTCTCACTTAGCCACTCCAAGTCCTAGTGGGGAAAATGATAATTTTTAATAAAAAATTTCACCTATACTTTCACCTGAGCTGAGGAACATTAGGGGTTCTTTTGACATTTTATAATTTCTGGCGAAAATGAACACTTGATAATTTTATTTTGAGACTTAACAGAGTTCATTCAGGTTTTCTAAGGCCTGAAAGTTATACAATGTTGGGGTCCTCTAAGAATACAGAATCACAAATGTAAAAATCAGTCACACAGCTTTGGAAAGGCCTTTTTTTTTTTTTTTCCCAAGAAAGGAGCCCTGATTCTTAAGCTTAAGTAACTTCATGATGAATTCTCCTTTGATAATGACTGATTGCTTTCTTTGTTCAGAATTATGAAAGAAAAGTAAGGGGCCAAACCAGAGGACAGAAAGAAAATCCTTGTCCACCTTGCTTTCCAGCTGTCCCTCCAAGCCTGTTGACTGGTATAGTTCTTCCTCCAGGTCCCAAGGTAAACGATGACATATCAGAAATTGCCCCTGACTTAGCATCCACTCCTCACTCCAATTGCTCCACTTCATTCTCTCAACAAATAGTTACTAAATGATCAGATGGACTTATTAGGTGGAATGGACTCAACTACCACTTGGCATTAGAATAGCCAACCCTTTGATATTTTACTTAGGGATTATCCCCTGTTCTGGGGAATGTGCAAAATAACTGATATCTTTTCATTCTCTTATACATCAGCCTGGTATTAACATGCCTTCTTCTCCTTTTCCTTCCCCCGCCCTCCCCAGGAGTTAGGAATTACCATCCATCTGGCTTTGATTTGCCAGATCTTCCAGCGAATATCGGCTAAGTTACACAAAATGGGCGTGTCTGGGTCTTACCAAGAGACCTCCAGGTCTTCAAAGCTTACCGAGCGGAGACACCTAGGCGCTTTCTTTAGCACACAGCGCTAATAGCCCCCTCCCACCCCTGTTGTAGTAGTCCCCTCCCCCTTCTACCCCGCCCCGTTTTACGCCTTCTGCCTCCCTTCCCTCGAATCTCCCCTCTTTCTACTCCTTCCTATTTATTCCTTCCCCACGGGCCAGCCGCTCTTGGAGCTGCCCTTCTGCGTGGAGAGGCGACGCGGCGACACCTATAGGATTGCTTCCGGGCACTACTCAGCCAGAGGTGGCTGGCCCGGGCCGGAGCTCAGCCCGGCCGGCAGCTCTGTGGGGTGGCACCGGGGACGCGCGCACCCGCCTGCCTGCGCCCGCCCTCCCTTCCTCCCTCGCTCCCGGCCCTGAGCTGCGCTCTGCCCAGGGCGGTGGCTTCGCTTTGCCGGGCAGAGCTCCTCTCCGGTGGCCGCTCCCTTTTTTGCCTCCTCTTTGCGTCATGTCGGGCACTTGATTTTTTTTTTTTTTTTTAAATCCCTCCTTTAGCGGGTTCCACCTTCCACCTCCTCTTTCCTTTCCCAGGTTGACTCCCCCCCCCATCCCCGTCTTCTCTGAGCTTGTCCATGAGCCTCCTCGGGAGCTACCGGAAAAAGACCAGCAACGATGGTTATGAATCTTTGCAGCTGGTGGACAGTAACGGGGACTTAAGTGCGGGGAGCGGCGGGGGTGGCGGCAAGCAGAGAGTGAACACCGCGGCAGCGGCGGCGCGGAGTCCCGCCCGGCAGCCTCCGGACCGCGCCAGCACCATGGACAGCTCAGGTAGCGCTGCTGGCGGGGTAGCGCGCGGCGCTCCGCTTTTCCGGGCCTCCCGAGCGGCCCAGTCCACCAGCTCAGGGCTTGCACTCCTGCCCGGGCTTGGGAGAGACTGGGTTGGAGGCGATCCCATCTACAGTGTCGCGTCTCTCGTTTCTTTTCGTCCAGGGAGCTAGGAAACGTTAGATCAGTCCAGAGGCCCAGTGACGGTAGGGAGCACCTCTTAATCTCTTTAGGCGACTGACTACTGGGGGCGGGGAGGGGGAAGGAAAGAGGAGGGAGGGGAGAGGTGTGGAAGAGAAGGGAGGGGGTGACGCGAAGAGCGACTTGGAAGGAGGGCGGGGAGAGGCAGCTGCTTTCACTACCAGCTGGATGAGGGGGAGAGGTGAAGGAGCAAGTGCGTTGATTGTTTTGCAGCCTGTGGACGGTATTTATTCCAATTGTTATTCTCGTAAGGCTGATGTTATTTACAATTCTGTAAAGCTCTGCCATATCTTAACTCAGCTGTCTGCTGGGGTTAGTGTTGTCTTCTTTCTCATGAGGTTTTACCTGGGATCTAGAGTCCTTTTATTCAGCTTTTTGTGTTTTGCACAATGAAATTTATTTCATCTATTTTTTGGCCTTGATTTTGTTTATCTTTTTGCATTGAGTGTACTAATATTTCATAAACCTTTATATGTATGGAAATGGAGAGGCCTCTAAACTTTCTATCTGGGCTTGCAACCGTCTTTTATAAAACATTTAGCAAGTTAGAGTTCTCTCTTTAAAACGCTGTTAGCATTTAGCGATTTGTGTAGCAAAACAGTCATTTAATGTATCCATGTTGAACCAGAAGTATTCTTACAGCTATTTTTTCATCTTTCCAGGGAACTAGCACCAGAGGATTGTTTACATAGAGATAATTGATAATTGAAGTGCTCAGTGGTTTGTTCTACACTGGTAACTTTAAAACTGGACAACCGAGGGTTCCAGAGAAAAGATTCATGTTGGTTGTTTGGGCAATAATGAAACAAAACAATTTAATTCCTGCACTTTACAAACAAATGCATGTTTAATTGTTTAATGGCTCTCCCTGGGCCATCATTTTCTCATCCCTAAGTGGGATGAAATATTGTCCACAGATGGTCAAATGTCCTGGGATGAAAACAAGTCAACCAGTCATGCTCTTGCTGAAGTTAAGTAAGTTAAGTAATCGGTGGATGTTCTCTCAAACCATTTTAAATTAAGATAACATCCCTAAGGGGTTGATTGATGGTTTCAGGGTCTTGGTATGGATGCTGTACGTGATTATTTGATTTGTGTTTTTCCAAATCTGTGGTATATCAAAGTGCAACCCATCTTTGAACTGGATGTGATTTCCTTTAAATCTTTAACAGATTCATGTTCTCTGATTGATGCTACTATTCACAATCATTTTTGAAACATAGTGGGCGAGTAAGCAAATATTTGAAACGAACACATTCCAAATGAGTGTGGAGAAGCGTTATTTCAGGGATATGAAAAGGCATCCATATGTTTTCAAGTCTCATAGGAATTATCAGCTTATGAGTTGGAATTTATTTTTAAAGTATGCTACATTACAAAAGAAATGCAACATATATTTCCTTACCTGTCTGGGTACCAGCTTCTGTGCTTAGATAGGGGTGGAATACAGCAGTGAATGAAATCCTTTTGGCCTCTAGGGAGTGGTCATTTAGTAAGGGCAGTTACTAATGCAGAGTGTTGCTTTTGGTAAATTCTGGATTTTCGAGAATTAACTTTTTCATTAAGTCAGACTTTTTCAGTAGTCCAAGAGAAGAATGAATTGCCTTGATAAACCTTTGTGATGGGAAAGCAATTCCATTAAGAATAATGTTATTTCAAAGGCACTAGTGCCAGGAGTTGGTTCTTTGACTTGATCAAGCTAGCACTGTATGAAGAGGCTGCAGGATTTACACCTGCCCCCATTCTCTCCTACATCTGGTTAGGGGAATCTTGTGCCTTTGTTGCAGCAGCATAATGTATCTTATGAGTATTTTTATACTTACATAAATTGAGAATGCAGTTTGAAAGGATGCTGTTTGGCTTGGGTGAGACATTGGACTCTGAAATAGGTTTCATTTACTAATACAACTATGTCTTGTCTAATTATAGTTCTTTCTACTAAGAGCTTCAAAGTGTGGCCTGTGCAGTATAAATGTATCCATTTGTTTAGGACAGTTAATTAAATCCATAGATCACTTGTAATGCAACAGTAATCCATTTATTCAACTGATTTTACTGTGACATGGTGGATAGGATAGAAGGTTCATGGGGCTTTTGCTCTGGCAGAAATGTTTATGAATGGAAAAAAAAATATGTCAGGGTCCTGCTAGAGAACTTGAAGCTTAATCTTAACAATCATGTACATTTGAATGGCTATTTATAATAGACAGAACACTTGGACACTCATTTCACTTTTCAGAATTCTATTAAATAGGTAAGCAGCATGTGTCTGTGTCTGGAGACTTGGGATCAAACCTTTGCAGTATTATACCTTGCTGAATAACCTAGTAACCTTTTAAATCCTTTCCCTTATTTGGAAAAGGAGAACTGCAATAGCTGATCTTGCCATAGAACTTCAGCTGAATCTTAAAACATCATGAAAATACATTTGCAAACCTTCTTCACTTTTCTTTCTGTGCCCTTCCAGTTTATTACATGAGGATGATATGTTAGGAGATGGTAGTAGACTTGTCCTAGGTAAAATAGCTGGTTAATGACATCAAGACTAGGACTTCTCCATAAGGGCTGAGTTTTTCCCTATTGAACTATACTTTCTGTGTAGACATAGTATCAACTAATTATTGAAATAGAAACAATATTATCTACTTTGATTTCCCCTTCTGTGTTTTAGATGAAAAGGGGACAGATGTTTAGAGAAATGTAAATATTCTAAGTCAACAGACTCTCAAGTGGTAAATTCCAGAGTCGTCTCCTAGTTTTCTCTTCAAATGATTCCTTAGAAAAGGTTGTTCATGCCTGTAATCCCAATGACTCAAGAGACTGAAGGAGCAGGATGGCAGTTCCAGACCAACTTTAGCAACCTAGCAAAACCCTCTGCAATTTAGCAAGGCCCTGTCTCAAAAATAAAAAGAACAGGAGATGTAGCTTGATGTTAAAGCATCCCTGGGTTCAATTCCTAGTGCCCCCAGTTGTCATTCAAATGTCATCCTGTCTTACCTAAAGACACTGCAGCTGAGAAACTCTGTTTTTCATGTGTGTGCTGTACTTTCAAGGAAGCCTAACTCAGAAAAGTAGAACTTCCCACCAGAGCCACTGAAGTGTCCCAACATTAGGCTTATCTTAAAAAGTTCATGATGATACTCCATAAAAAACCAGTCCAATTAAAATATGACATGTATTAATGAAGTTTAGAAGAATAAGGATAATGAAGAATGCTTAGATACTTTCCTATTTAGTGTGGAATCTGTTTGGAAATGAAGATTATGTTCTACAATTCCATTTTATTACTATTCTAAGTAGTGTTTAAATGTAGTGTCCACATTTTGAATTGGATTTTAACATTGTGAAATATTTATTTGGTTACTTTACTTCTTAGAAATATAATTAAGCATAATGTAGTAATAATTCTGCCTATTTAAAGGTCTTGTGTGTTAAAGGCAAGGTTGACTAATTTACTTGATTTGTGGCTATAATTTGGATGTTTCTGGGTAACCATTGAAGGATGTGCCAGTTACTGGATGAATAGTAAGACATGTTCATCTGTCTCAAGTTTCAAATGCTTGGGGAATGCCAGGTTTCTTGGGTTTGGAAGGAGAATCCTTTGAACTAAATCTCTGAAACAAGGTCATGTGGGCAATGATGAACATCTTTAGTGGCTTCTCAGGCAGTATCATCAGTGCAGAGTTCTTTCTTTGGGCAAAATCAATCTTTTGTTGTTGTTGTTGTTCTTTTTCTTTTTTTTCTCTATACTGGGAATTGAACCCGGGGATTCCTTACCAATGAGCTATATTCCCATCCTTTTTTATTTTGGGATAAGTTCTTGCTAAGTTGCTGAGTCTGGTCTCAAACATTTGGTCGTCCTGTTTCAGCCTCCTGAGTACCTGCGATCACAGGTATGTGCCACTGTGCCAGGCTTTCAAAATCAATCTTTCTACTTTCTAGATACAAAATAAATTCAATTCTTTCATATGGCAACCTTGTGATTCTTTGAGAACAGATATTGTTTCTCCTCTTTGTCCATGTCTCCTCTTTTCTAGGTTAATCAAACCTACTGATTCTTTACTTGTTTTTTCTACATGCCATTTCCATATAATCATGCTAAGCTTTGAGAATAATTTATATTTTCAATTTTGCATAAACAGGGCCTTTCATTAATTTTTATTATAAATAGTTTTCATGCTCTTTGCTAAAAAAGAATTAAACATTACAGAAAGTAGTAAATTGAAACAGTTAAGTACCTTCTTTACTTTAAGTACCCTCTCTGATGTTTATACCTTTGCCTCAAAGATAACCCTTATTGAAAGTTTGTGGAAGGACTTTCAACACATAATATACATGTGTATAAGTGTATATATTTTACAAATATAAATTTATGTATACCATTAAATTGTAATAAAATGTAAATTCAGAGTTTATTTATGAATATATTTGTAATTTGTTCATTAATGCTTTAAAATAAAAATAGCTAAAATTTAATGAATATAATCCAAGCATCATGCTAACCACTGTACATATGGTATCTTATTTAACTTTCATAAGAATTCTTTAACTAAGGGAAGCTGGGGGCAGTGTTGCATGCCCCTAATCCCAGGGACTGGGGAGGCTGAGGCAGGAGGATCACAAGTTCCAGGCCAGCCTCAGCAATTTAGCAAGACCCTGTCTTAAAAAATAAAAGGGATTGGGGATACAGCTCAGTGGTAAAGCACCTCTGGGTCTAATCTTCAGAACAATAACAACAACAACAAAATTATAAGGTAGGGATAGTTATCTCCCTATAGTTGAGTACACCAAGTAACAGAGAG